TTACTAGTGCATTAAATGGAACCAACAGTGTAGCCTACTGGCTATGTCAAGAACAACAGGTAGACCTAAAATACCAGTGGCCACAAATAGCAATTATGTGTTTTAATTTGAACAAACAGATAACGCCACAATAAACCAGAGCAACCTCCAATGATCTCTCAAAATGAGGTACAGACTGGACATGTGGTCAGGGATGCAATTGTAAGACATTAATTCTAACATAATAGTAATTATTGTCATTTTGATTAAAATACAATGGACAATAGAGCTTTTTGTTTTGAGCTTGATCTGATCTGATTTCAGAATCCCTGTTTTCCCTTTGAACAACCTGTTTTCAAGGTTCATTCCAATCCGTTATCTGAAATCCCATTGGATTACTTTTGAACAACTGGGCCCTGAAATGGATGTCATTCTGGATAAAGCACACAGGCTGGGAAAGCCCACAAAGGGCCAGAACCGGCAGATTGAAGTTTGCCACAAAAAGTCATAGCGACACACTATGGAAACAGGCGAAACACACGCAAGTGTGTACAGAGCTGGGAATATGCTTCAAAGAAAATCATAACAAAGGATGACCGGGAGACTTGTAATGTGCTATGGTCTCAGATCTAGACAGCCAGGCAGCAAGGCAGGAAGGCAATCTTCAGAGGTCCTTTTGGATATATCAATCGACAGACATAGCATGGCCTGTCGTTCTAAGGACGAATAGATGGTGGTGAACTAGGAATGAGAGCTGGCAACAAATTAACTGATGTAAAAATGAAAAATTAGAAAAATGTTCAATAGGGACACTGCTGAAGTTTTAAATTAACCCTTCCAGCGGAGGTAAGTAACCTTGTTAACTAACAATTTTCTTAAATACGAGGGAGCTCAAAGACAATACGAAAAGAAAAGTTTTATTTTTGTTTTGCAAAGGGATGAAAAATAATTTATTATAGGAAATACGCCCACTCGACTAACGAGGATGAAAAGTTCTGGATTCAATAATGGGGGGGGGAGGTTTTCTTTAGTCATGGCACAGAGTGGTCAGCAGGGGCCGCCATTTTACTGAATAATTGTCCTGAGAAACCGCTGCATGTCAAAGGAGATGAAAATGGACATTGGCTTATTGTCATGGTAGATATTAATGCCTCAAGGTGTATTCTGATTAATGTTGATGAGTACAACAGTAGACAAAGGAATAGAGACACACTAGAAGATATCAAACATGAAATGGAAAGATGGATGAAATGGAAAAAATTGCCCTATCACAGTGATGATATACAAACAGGATGAGACCTAAATATGCTGAATGATGAATGGTTAGGCTGATCTTCTTCCAGGTGTCATACTTACACCTCTAACTATAGATTTAGTGAATTTTNACAGGAACGGAGAAGAAAGCATTAGCTTGGGTTGTACTCAGTTGTCGTGGATCTTCCCTTATTTGGGCAGTCCTTGCACCAGTGACCCATTTGTCCGCAGATATAGCATGGCCTGTCGTTCTAATTGCGGCTCCTGTCATTTGGTCCTCGCCTTCTGTCTCCGAAACCTCTGCCTCTGAATCCCCGGCCTCGGCCTCTCCCTCTTTCTCCTTGGCCATTGAACTGCAGTTTCACCATCACTAGCTGCTGTTTCTGGCACTCACCATGTTCGTGAAAGGTGTTCTCAGCATGCAGAGCATGGCAGCAGATGTTAGTCATGGTAGATTTCTGCCACTCAATGTATGTGGTCATAACCATCTGTTGGAGCTTTGGTCGTAGTCCAGCCACAAACAGTGTATGCATGGCGGCCATTCTCTGCTCTTCACTGTCTATTCCTGAATAATCACCCATTAACTGGGAGAGCCGGTGTTCCCACTGTGATACTGTTTCTCCTTTTGGATTTTATTCCAGTCCAGTTTCTTCTTGCAATGATCTTTTATTCTTTAGCCGAGTTGTGTCCATTTGTCGGTATAGTTCTCGTCAGTGCAGTGTCCTCCATTGAATGTGCCTTACACACGGGAACACTGGGTTGATGGACACCGTCAAGACTCAGGACCTCCTCCCAGAACCCGACCAAACTGGCTGGGGTGAGACACATACACTTTATGCAGTCTGCATCTTATAAAAACGAAGCATATGCACTTTGTACAACTTTTATCTCATGAGCCTAGCCGCCTGCATACAGCCCCCCACCAAACTGTAGCTTTTCTTGTGGTTTCCACCTCTGTCTGATAAGCATGTTCCAAACTTACATTTCTGTTATCTGGCCAGTATTTCTGCTCCTATCTAATGAACGCACAGTTCAACCACATATTGCTACACTAAGATTATTGTGACACTCTTTATTCTCTTGAGCTTGCATCCTTGGGTGTTAGCTGCCTAACACACAGGCTCTCTTGCATCAGTATACAAAGTTACATTCTAAAAGCTGATTACAAAAATATCCCTCTAGGCAGTTTTTCTCTCACACTTTACACTACGAAGTCTTAATTAATTCTGTTAATTATAAATTCTAGTTATTACAACTTCAACAAGTATTTTCAGTTTGGGACAAGGGTTGGTCGATTGGTAATAGTGATTGTCACGCCCCGCATGCCTTTTTCCCCGTGGTGTGGCACTAATGAGCCACACCTGTTCCTCGTTTAACCTGCCTCTCCTTTCAGCCCTCGTGTGGATGATCCCAGGTGCCTCTCGTCTGCTCCTCATCTGTGGTGTATATTGTGCCTCCTCTTCATGAGCCCCCCAAGTCCGGTCATTGTATTGTTACGTGTTTGATCCTCCTGCCTACCTGTGCAACCCCTCTAGTTGCCCTGCAACCTGTGTTTCCCCCCCTGCTCTCCCAGCCTTGTTTTGACCCCTCACGGTCTGGTTTCTTTGCACTTTTGTATAGCGTTTTGTCTAATAAAACTCCTTCCATTTTCTCCGACGCCTGCCTTCACCTCTGTCCTTCCTAGAGCATGACAGTGATAGTAAATTTTTGATTTCCCCATGACCAGAAAGTCAAAGCCTATGTCTGAGAGAGTAACTATTACTCACTATGTTTACAAGGAAGCTAATAAAAGTAATTAAATTTGATCAGAATGAAATTGCCTAATATAAACACCCCAAGCAGAATAAATTACATTTTCATTCGGATTGCAAAGAGTGGTGTAGACTTCTGATAATCCACTGAATAGAAAAATATTACCTATAAACAGTGGTATCACCCCCGCAGCTGGGGGGCATCATGCATTGTATTAAGTATATTTTCATGCCCCCCTGTATTCAGGGTTCGAAATTAACCTTTTTGATCACCAGCCAAAGTGGCTGGTAACTTTCTGAAGTTACCAGCCAATCAGAATTTCCATTAGACAAATTTTTACGTGGTGAAAATAAGAGATTATGAATGCCACTGAATGAAAATTTGATCATTTTATTAACAGTGCATGAAAAACGCACAGAAAGTGCAATACACACAAAAAACTATACAGTTATAAACTGTTATAAAATTAACTATACATCCCCACCACGAAACTGTTAGTTTTATTTTTTTCTTTCGTGTACTCACGGCAAATCTGACAAAACTTGACCGCATTTTTACTATCAAACACTAGCCAATGACGACCTGTCTGCCATTTACAATTAAACTTCCTTCTCTTTGTTTCGCACGCTCTGTCAACATTTTCATCTTCTGCCTCCTTCCTATTCTCACCTCTTCCTGATCCTGACGTCTGTCCTAACCACCGCAGCATTTTGATTTTAGCTTATTTTGCTTTCCAGATCAGCC